AAAAGGGGTAAAAGTTGAAAGTTTCTTTCCAGACAAAGAGGCTTTTCTTAACTCAGTCAAGTCACAGCTGAGGGCCAAAGGAAGAGAGGGTTTAACTGAGCAGGAGGTTTACAGGTTGAGAACATCAGACATGAACTTAATGAAGAAGATGGAATCAAACTAAAGGTTTTCTTTTTCTCAGTCTGTGTGTGCTGTCTGGTTGTTTTTTTATTTTTTCAATGAGTGATTTTAAAGTTGCTTCATTGAATTTAAATGGCGCTGCGGACATCAGAAAAAGGATGCAGCTATATGAGCTGATGAAGCTGAAAAGTGTTGATGTGATGTTTGTCCAGGAAACACACAGCGACAGGTCCAGTGAAACTGACTGGAGATCAGAATGGGACGGCGAGGTCGTGTTAAGCTCCTTGACCTCAGTGAGCGGGGGGGTAGCCGTCCTTTTCTCTAAAAAGTTTCTGCCGACTTCTTATGAACTTAAAGAAGTGATAGAAGGAAGGCTGATGATGGTCAGAGCCAAGTTTGAGTGTTTCACTCTCACATTCATTAATGTTTATGCTCCAAATGTCGGCTCAGACAGAGTCCGTTTTATTAATCCTCTCAGTGACACTCTGACTAGTTTTGGTTCAGATGATTTTTTGTTTTTAGGGGGAGATTTTAATTGTACTCAGAATGATTCTTTGGACAGGAATCATGTTGAACCTCATGCTGCTTCGAAAAAGGCAATTAATGAAGTAATAAAAACACATGATTTGGTGGACGTTTGGAGGAGGTTGCACACTGAAGACCGACAGTACACCTGGGCGCATACAAGAGAAAATTTTATTTCTTTGGCTCGACTGGACAGGTTTTATTGTTTTAAACATCATTTTAGTGTTTTTAAGGCATGTAGTATTTTACCTGTACATTTTAGTGATCATTTTTTAGTGGTCTGCAGTGCTTTTATTGCAAAAACTGAAAAACGGAGTGCATACTGGCATTTTAACACCAATTTACTCAGTGATGCTAATTTCAAAGATGTTGTGGTTTATTTCTGGAAGGTGCATAGGGCTGAAAGGAACAGTTTTGTTTCTTTAAGACAATGGTGGGACTGTGGGAAGGTTAAAATCAAACAGCTCTGTCTACAGTACACTCTGAATGTCATGAGGGACATTACTAGATCAATGACGACTCTAGAGACTGAGATAGTGGAACTTTTAGGCTTGATTGAGTCCACAGGAAATCGAGAGCATTTTGAAGCCCTCAAATCTAAAGAAGCTTTGTTAGCAGACCTGCTGGGCACCAAAGCCCAGGGAGCACTGGTTCGTTCACGTTTCCAGAGCATCAACCAGATGGACGCTCCGTCCAAGTTTTTCTTTGGCTTAGAAAAGACAAATGGGCAGAGCAGGTACATCCACACACTACAGTCAGCTGATGGGGAAGAACTCACGGAGCCTCATGAGATCCGGAGACGGGTGGTGCAGTTTTACTCTGAGCTGTATAAAGCGCAGCATGTGGAGCATGAACAACTGTTTGAGTGTTTCAGTGAAGGCCTGCCCAGAATCTCTGGAGATGACCATCCTGAGCTGGAGGAGCCTCTGGTTTTGGAAGAGCTGCATGCTGCCCTGCAGGGGATGGATGGAGGGAAGGCCCCAGGTATTGACGGTCTTCCTGTCGAGTTCTACAAGACCTTCTGGAAAGAGCTTGGTCAGGACTTGTTAGATGTGTTCAATGAAAGTTTTGAAAATCAGACCCTGCCTCTGAGCTGCATGAGAGCTGTAATAACCCTGCTGCCGAAGAAAGGAGACCTTCAGGACGTCAGAAACTGGCGCCCAGTCTCCCTCCTCTGTTCGGACTATAAGATCTTGTCCAAGGCTCTGGCTAACCGGTTGAAGCAGGTGATGGAGGAAATCATTCACCTGGATCAGTCGTACTGTGTGCCTGGTAGGTCCATCACAGACAACGTGTCATTAATCAGGGATGTTTTGGACGTCTCCAGTTCTTTGGGCACTGACCTTGGTCTCATTTCGTTAGACCAAGAAAAAGCGTTTGACAGGGTTGAGCACCTTTATCTTTGGAAAGTTCTGGAGCGTTTTGGTCTCAGCCCACGTCTCATTGCTATGATAAAAGTTTTGTACAGAGACATTCAGAGTGTGCTGAAGGTTAACGGGGGTCTGAGTGCTCCCTTCACAGTAGGCAGGGGGTCAGACAGGGCTGTCCTCTGTCTGGGATGCTGTATACATTGTCCATTGAGCCCTTGCTACACAGAATCCGGTCCTGTATTCATGGTTTGGTTTTACCAGGTTTTAACACGCACACGTTTTATCTGCTTATGCTGATGATGTCATGCTCCTGGTCAGAAATCAAGCTGAAATTAATATTGTTGGAAATATTGTGTCTGAGTTTGGTCTTATCTCTGCTGCAAAAGTGAATTGGACAAAAAGTGAAGCTCTAGCAGTTGGAAACTGGTTTGGTGGTCTTCCGGTCCTGCCGGGGGGGTTGGGATGGAGAAATGATGGTATAAAGTATCTAGGTGTTTATCTTGGCAAAGAAGAAATGGTGAAAAGAAACTGGGAGGGCATGATAGAGACGATGAAAGGAAGGTTGAAAAAGTGGAAATGGCTGCTTGCTCAGATGTCTTTTAGAGGAAGAACTCTAGTAATCAACAACCTTGTAGCTTCAGCACTGTGGCATCGTTTAGCTTGTATGGAGCCACCTGCTGGCTTACTCTCAAAACTACAAGCAGTTTTAGTGGACTTTTTTTGGGACAGGTTACACTGGGTACCTCAGAGGGTGCTTTTTTTACCAAAAGAAGAAGGGGGGCGAGGCCTGGTACACCTAGCAAGCAGAGTGGCAACTTTTCCATTTCAGTTTGCACAGAGATATCTGACTGGTTTTAAATACCCAGTGTGGAAAGAGTTTGCAAGCAGCATTTTAAGGAGAGCAGACAGGTTAGGACTTGACACTGCTTTGTTTTTAATGGATGTTGGTTATTTAAATTTGTCTGTATTGCCTGATTTTTATAAGGGAGTTTTTAAGGCCTGGCACCTTTTTAAGAAGAGACGGTTGGAGCCGTCAGTCTCCCTGTACTGGTTACTGAACGAGCCTCTGATCGGTGGATCCACAATGGACATACAGGACAGTGGTACACCAGGCCTCCATCACACGCTCCGTTCGCTGGCGCTACAACTCTCAGACGGATAGTGGATGTAGCTGGACCTGGTTTTATGAACACTGAGGCTGTGGCTGCACTAATTGGACTAAAATCTGTGCGTCACGTGAGGAACATTCTGAATGGTTGGACTAACAAACTAACAGCAGCGGATAACGAGCTGTTGAGGAGTACTGGAAAGGTGAGGAAGCTCCGGACGAAGAGGACCCTTTTCCAGAGTTGGGACTGGTACCCCTCGACTGTTGTTCTAGTCTATTGTTGGATGTCAGGCATCAGAAGGTCCCAGATCTGCACACGGTGACGGGTAAAATGATTTACAGGTGTTGTGTGAAGGTGTTGTGTAAAAACAAGTTAAATGGTAGAAGTGACACAGTGTGGAGGGAGAAACTGGGGGTTAGTAACGCTGTGAAGCCCACCTGGAGAGTCTTTTACAAACTTCCTTTAAAGAAGCGTACAGGTGACTTACAGTGGAGAATATTACATGGGGCTGTTGCAGTGAACTCTTTTATCTCTGTGATTAATCCCTCTGTCTCTGACGGCTGTCCTTTCTGTGGGCTGCTGGAAACTGTTGTTCATTGTTTTTTAGAGTGCAGCAGACTGGGGGAACTGTTCAATGTGTTGGGGTGCTTGTTTTCTTCTTTTAATGAAGTGTGGTCTAACACTGCTTTTGTTTTTGGAGCAGGTTACAGGAAGACCAATGCAACAAAGTGGCAACTGTTAAATTTTATTGTAGCAGAAGCCAAACTGTCCATATACTTGAGTAGGAAGAAGCAGGTAGAAGGACGGCTGTGTGGAGACGTAGTCCCTGTGTTCACCTCTCTGGTCAAAGCCAGAGTGTTAGTGGATTTTAAGTTCCATCAGCTGATGAACAGCTTGGATGTGTTTGTACGTCAGTGGTGTTATGATGATGTCATCTGTTCTGTGGTGGATGAAGAAGTAAGTTTTAGTCGTGTTTTCAGCTAATTTGATGTTTTTATTCGTGTGGAAGGTTTTTCTTTTTTCTAAATGTCAACCGGTTTTGATTCTCTGACTTATTGAGTGTTGCTATGTTTGTGAATCAGTGATGTTTTATTAAAGTGGTTTTAAAAAGTCAAAAAAAAGTCTCTCTCTCTACCTGTCTCTCTCTCTCTCTACCTGTCTCTCTCTCTCTCTCTACCTGTCTCTGTCTCTCTCTCCACCTGTCTCTCTCTCTACCTGTCTCTCTCTCTCTCTCTACCTGTCTCTGTCTCTCTCTCCACCTGTCTCTCTCTCTACCTGTATCTCTCTCTCTACCTGTCTCTCTCTCTACCTGTATCTCTCTCTCTACCTGTCTCTCTCTCTACCTGTCTCTCTCTCTACCTGTATCTCTCTCTCTACCTGTATCTCTCTCTCTACCTGTCTCTCTCTCTCTACCTGTCTCTCTCTCTACCTGTCTCTCTCTCTACCTGTCTCTCTCTCTCTACCTGTCTCTCTCTCTCTACCTGTCTCTCTCTCTACCTGTCTCTCTCTCTCTACCTGTCTCTCTCTCTACCTGTCTCTCTCTCTACCTGTCTCTCTCTCTCTCTACCTGTATCTCTCTCTCTACCTGTCTCTCTCTCTCTACCTGTCTCTCTCTCTCTACCTGTCTCTCTCTCTACCTGTCTCTCTCTCTCTACCTGTCGCTCTCTCTCTCTCTCTCTACCTGTCTCTCTCTCTACCTCCTGTCTCTCTCTCTCTCTCTCTCTCTCTCTCGGTGCATGCTGGGAGTGTTTGGGTGCGCGTGAGGGTTCACACGAGGTGAGGGTGAGCGTGTGCTTGTTTCAAACTTTTCTAAATTTTTGTTTCAAGTTTCCTCAGTAAACTTTTTTTTTTTTTTTAGGATTAGTTAGGGAGCGGGATGGCGTCCCTTACGCCACCTGTCTCCATCCGCCATGGAGTCAGGTGTGTGACGGCGAACGGGGTGAATGTGGAGGAAGTGCTACTTGCAGTTGGACAGGAGATCGGCTATGAAAACATTTCATCTGCCTCGCGAATGAATAAAGCGGTGGTTGTGTTTTTAAAAGAAGAGAACCACGTGAATCATCTTATAAGCAGCGGAATAGTGGGAAGTGGAGACTTTGTTACTGTTTTGCCGCTGGTTGCTCCAACTATTAAGGTGACTGTGTCAAACGTGCCGCCTTTCATCCAGAGTAATGAGATAGAACGAGAGCTTTTGCGATTATGGTAAGTTAGCTAGCGCAATTAAAACCGTTCCTCTTGGATGTAGAAATGAAGCGCTAAAGCACGTAATGTCGTTTAGAAGACAGGTTTTTATGTTCCTGAATGAACAGGCGTTAGACGTGTCTTTTAAAGTTTGGCATGAAGGAAGAGCGTACATGGTTTATGCAAACACTGGGAATATGAAATGTTTTGAGTGTGGAGACGTTGGGCATAAGCGTTTAGCATGTCCGCATAAAGCTCAAGCTGATGAGGCCGTTGGTCCTGTGAAAGATCCTGAGAACGTGCAGTCTGTAGAGGAGGAAGAGGATGAGCCTCAGGGAGCTGAGGAAGCTATTGTTGTAGTAGAGGAAGATGAGCCTCAGGGAGCTGAGGAAGCTATTGTTGTAGTAGAGGAGGAAGAGGATGAGCCTCAGGGAGCTGAGGAAGCTATTGTTGTAGTAGAGGAAGATGAGCCTCAGGGAGCTGAGGAAGCTATTGTTGTAGTAGAGGAGGAAGAGGATGAGCCTCAGGGAGCTGAGGAAGCTATTGTTGTTGTAGAGGAAGATGAGTCTCAGGGAGCTGAGGAAGCTGTAGAGGAAGATGAGCCTCAGAGAGCTGAGGAAGCTGTTGTTGTTGTAGAGGAAGATGAGTCTCAGGGAGCTGAGGAAGCTGTAGAGGAAGATGAGCCTCAGAGAGCTGAGGAAGCTGTTGTTGTTGTAGAGGAAGATGAGTCTCAGGGAGCTGAGGAAGCTGTTGTTGTTGTAGAGGAAGATGAGTCTCAGGGAGCTGAGGAAGCTGTTGTTGTTGTAGAGGAAGATGAGTCTCAGGGAGCTGAGGAAGCTGTTGTTGTTGTAGAGGAAGATGAGCCTCAGAGAGCTGAGGAAGCTGTTGTTGTTGTAGAGGAAGATGAGTCTCAGGGAGCTGAGGAAGCTGTAGAGGAAGATGAGTCTCAGAGAGCTGAGGAAGCTGTAGAGGAAGATGAGTCTCAGAGAGCTGAGGAAGCTGTAGAGGAAGATGAGTCTCAGGGAGCTGAGGAAGCTGTTGAATTAAATGAAGAAAATGACAACCAAACTGAGGAAAGTGGGATTGTGAATAATGAAACAACAGGAATGGTGGGAAACAAAGTAATGAGTGAAGATAGGGAAACTGTTGCAAGTAGTGGAGGAAATGGTGTTGGAAGTGAGAATATTGGTGATGCAGAAATGAGAGATGAAGATGCTCTTTCTGAGTTTTCAGAAATTGGGTCACAAGTGATTGAAGACATGTACCCTTTAGAGGAAATTAATGACTTTCTGGATACAACATTCGGTAAAATTGTAGAAGTAGAAGATTTTTTTCCAGATGTGGACAAATTTATAATATCAGTGTTGTTTCTGCAAAAAACAGTGAGCTATGAAGTTTTGGATAAAAAGAAAAGATTCAGGCTGAAAAAGATGGTAACGAAGTTGAGGAGAAGGAAAGCGAAAGTTTAAAAACAGCTTAGATATGAATAAGTCACAAGTGGTGTTCTTTACTCTCTGCTCTTTTTTTCAGTTTCTGTCTTTTTCTTAATTCTCTATATGGATGTGTGGAGAGTGGGTTCATTAAATATTAATGGGGGTAGGGACAAGAATAAATTAGCAAAGATTTCTGAGTTTTTAAGAATCGAAAAGGTTAATGTTTGTTTTTTACAAGAAACGCATACAGACACTGATAATGAGGTCGAATGGGGGTTGTGGTGGAAAGGAAAATTTGCCTTGAGTCATGACACAAGAAATAGTGCGGGGGTAGCTATTTTATTTTCTAAAAGTGTGAGTATTGTAAAGATAGAAGAAATTGTGAAAGGAAGATTACTTTTAACACAAATTGAGTATAATGGAATAGAGTCTGTGTTTGTTAATGTTTATGCTCCTAATAATGGTCCAGAGAGGCTGATATTTTTATGGAGTTAAGGAAAGTGCTAAAAAAATATGATGATAATGTTTGTCTAATACTTGGAGGTGATTGGAATTGTACAATAGACTTTGTTGTTGATAGGAATGGAGAAGAGCCTCATAGTAAGTCAAGGGATGTATTAAAAAAGTTCTAAATGAATTTCAGTTAACAGATGTATGGAGAACGAGGAATGAAGGAGTAAAGCAGTATACGTGGCTAAGAGTGGTTGATAATAGAATTAGTGGAGCGAGATTGGATAGGTTTTATCTAAAAAAGACATGGAACAACAAGGTGATGAATACTTTTATTAGACCTAATGGTTTTTCAGACCATCATATGGTCATATTAGATGTTAATTTGGAAAAAACATGCAGATCTAATTATTACTGGATTTTTAATATTAAGTTATTACAGGATGTCTCTTTTTGTGAAAAGTTTAAAGTTTTCTGGGATATTTGGAAATTGAAGAAAAATTCTTTTGAAAACCTAAGTCAATGGTGGGATGTGGGCAAGACAAATATAAAAATGTTTTGTCAAAACTATGCTTTCCACTCATCAATTATACTGAAAGCAACAGTGAAAGCTTTACAAAGTGACACTGAGTTCATTGAAAGACAAGCTGTAAATAATAATGAAGCTGTACAGTGTCATGGGTTAAATAAGAAAAGACAAGAGCTAAGCTCTCTTCTACATGAGCAAGCAAAAGGAGCATTGGTGAGATCAAGATACTGTTCTGTAAAAGAAATGGATGCTCCAAGTGCTTTCTTTTTTAACCTGGAAAGGAAACATGTCCAACAAAAGATGATGTGCCATCTTCGTCGTTCGGATGGATCCGTGACATCAGATCCTACAGAAATGAGAAGATTGGCTGGAGACTTTTATAAACTATTATATACAGCTGAGAGTTGTGACATTGACTGCACTAAAGACTTGCTTAAGGACTTACCTCAGCTGGAAGAAGAAAAGAAAAAAGAGCTGGATGATGTAATAACTTTTCATGAGGTTACAGAGGCGATGAGGCAACTATCTAACGGCAGATCGCCGGGGATTGATGGATTACCGGTGGAGTTTTATCAACATTTCTGGGACCTAATAGGACCAGATTTATATGAAGTTATTTTAGAATGCATAAAAAATAATGCACTTCCGATAAGTTGTCGTCGAGCAGTTTTGTCATTGCTTCCAAAGAAAGGAGACCTTGGACTGCTAAAAAACTGGAGACCGGTATCACTGTTGTGTCTGGACTATAAGATTGTTTCGAAGTGTTTAGCAAATAGACTCAAGCACTGTCTGGATTTGTTGATCAAAAATGACCAAACATATTGCATTCCTAAGAGATCTATAATAGATAGTCTTTTTTTAGTGAGAGATATAATTGAATTTAATCAGAAAATTAAGAATGATTTAGGAGTGTTGTCATTGGACCAAGAAAAGGCGTTTGATCGTGTTGATCATGATTATCTTTTTAAAGTGTTAAAGGGTTATGGATTTGGTGATGTTTTTATTTCATATATTAAGTTGTTGTATTCAAATGTTTATGTGATGGTGAAAGTAGGGGGTGGTTTAAGTGCTCCAATACCCGTGACAAGAGGCATCAGGCAAGGCTGTCCAATTTCTGGACAACTATATAGCCTAATTATCGAAACTCTATTATGTAGGTTGAGGAAGAATTTAAATGGAATTCTAATTCCTCATGGCAACGCTCATTCTAAGGTGGTTTTATCAGCCTATGCAGATGATATTACAGTTTTTATTAAAGAAAAAGACGATATTGAAATTTTAACAAAAACTATTGAATTGTATGAAAAAGCCTCCTCTGCTAAGGTCAATTGGACAAAAAGTGAAGGTTTTATGATTGGCAATTTGGAAAATGTTCCACAACTTCCAGGAAGGTTGCAATGGAAGAAAGATGGACTAAAGATTTTAGGAGTTTTTTTAGGAAATGATCAATTTCAGAAGAAAAACTGGGAGGGTTTGTTAGAGAAGGTGTCTGCCCGATTGTCGAAGTGGCGATGGCTATTACCACAATTGTCATATCGAGGAAGGGTGCTGGTAGTAAACAATCTGGCTGCTTCTATTCTGTGGCACAGGACTATGGTCATGGAGCCACCAGAGGAACTGATCTCCAGTATACAAAGGGAAATAGTGAATTTCTTCTGGGATGGACAACATTGGTTGCGGGCTGCCATGTTATACCTACCAGTGCAAGAAGGCGGCCAAGGACTAGTGGATGTGAGAAACAGAGTCCGTGGTTTCAGGATACAAGCGGCACAGAAATGTCTGTATGACAAAGATGTGCTTTGGGGAAAGACTGCAAGTGCGATCATGAGGAGAGTTGGTGGCTTTGGACTGGATAAACAACTCTTTTTAATGAAGCTTGAAGAAATGAACTTGTCTGAGCTCACTGTGTTTTACAGGGCTATGTTGCAAACATGGAGAACTGTTATAAGAGCAGAACGGAATATGGACAATCTAGAACTTTGGGCACCAGAGGAACCACTTTTTTTTAATCCATTGATTCAAACCAGAATATTGTCTTCTGTGACTGTACGACAATGTCTATTAAGGAATGGAATTGTTAAGCTGGATCATTTATTGAATGACGAAGGATGGAAACCGATTGATGAACTTCACGAAGCAACAGGATTGAGATCTTCACGTCTGGTGTCAAAACTAAAGGAAGAAATAAACAACGCATTACCAAGTGGGTACAGAAGTTTTATTGCACAAAAAAGACATGAGAATAACCAGGACATGGGGGATAATGTGCAATTTCCAGAACTGGTTATTTCTCCAGCAGTGAAGGAGGATGATGAAGAAGAAGTGGTCGACACCGTTCTATCCTTTGGGAATCCTCAGTTTTGTTCCTTTAAAAGCATGTCAAAGAAGGAAATGTACAACATTACAGTAAAGGCCATTCATCAGGACTCTTTTAGAAAACAGAAGGCTTCGAAGTGGCCAGATTTGTTGAGGCCAGACTTCCTGATAAGAGACAGGTGGAGGGCCCTATATAAGCCTCCTGTAGAGAAGCGCTCCGGCGATCTACAGTGGAGGATTATTTATGGGGCGATAGCAACAGACGGACATGTGGCACACCTGAACACAGCGGTAAAGGGGGAATGTCGATTCTGTGGGGAAAAAGAGGATTTGGAGCATTTGTTTTTAAAGTGTGAGAGATTAAATGGTATCTTTAAATTGCTTGGGAGCTGGTTTAGGAAATTTGATGAGGAGTTTTCGGATAGGGTGTTTATTGGAGGAATCAAATATTCATTTTCAAAAAGGAAAAAAATGTGTCTTTTAAATTACCTAATTGGAACGGCTAAACTGGCAGTGTGGAAAACACCGAAAAATAAAGGTCTAAAATTGGCAACTGTAGATCCTGAAGAGATGTGCAAGCGGCTTGTAGCGGGGAGGCTTAAGATTGAATTTGCGTATTATAGGTTGACAAATAATTTATTTGGGTTTTGTGAGATATGGTGTGTTGATGAAGTGTTATGTAAGTTGCATGAGGATCAGTTTGTTTTGAAGTTTTAAAAAAGGAGTTTTATTATAAGAGTACAAATGGTTTTATGGTGATGGTTACTTTGTTCATAATTTTGAAGTAAAAATGTATAAATAAAGGTATTGTTAAACCTCTCTCTCTCTCTCTCTGTCTCTCTCTCTCTACCTGTCTCTCTCTCTCTCTCTCTCTACCTGTCTCTCTCTCTCTACCTGTCTCTCTCTCTACCTGTCTCTCTCTCTCTCTACCTGTCTCTCTCTCTCTACCTGTCTCTCTCTCTACCTGTCTCTGTCTCTCTCTCTACCTGTATCTCTCTCTCCACCTGTCTCTCTCTCTACCTCTCTCTCTCTCTCTCTCTACCTGTCTCTCTCTCTACCTGTCTCTCTGTAGCTACGGTCTGTGTCCTCACATGACAGTGGAGAACAGAGATCGCCTGAGAGTTCGTGACCTGCTGACGGCGTACTACGACCTCGACTACCACCACAACCCCCGCGGGTCCAGCTACTGGAGGAACAGGTGAGCGCACGTGCAGGTGATACATACAGGTAATACACCCTCACCGGCCACTTTATTAGGTACACCTTGTTAGTACCGGGTTGGACCCTTTTGCCTTCAGAACTGCCTTAATTCTTCGTGGCATCCTTTCAACAAGCTGCTGGAAACCTTCCTCAGAGACTTTGGTCCATGTTGACAGATTTGTCGGCTGCACATCCATGAAGCGAGGGGAAACCAGTTTGAGATGATCTGAGCTTTGTGACACGGAGCATTATCCTGCAGGAAGTAGCATCAGGAGATGGTACACTGGGTCATAAACGGGTGGACGCGGTCAGCAACAACACTCAGGTAGGCTGTCGGGTCTAAAAGAGACAAGAAAATATCCCCCACACCTCCACCGGCAGGCTGAACCGCTGGTGCGAGGCAGGATGGATCCCTGCTGTTGTTTCTGACCGACCATCTGAATGTCGCAGCTGAAATCGAGAAACGTTTCTCCTTGTTGTCCAGTGTTGGTGAGCCTGTGTGAACTGTAGCCTCAGCTTCCTGTTGTCAGCTGACAGGAGTGGCCCCCGGTGTGGTCTCCTGCTGCTGGAGCCCGTCTGCTTCAGGGTTCAGAGATGGTGCAGACCTTTCTGCCCGTTCTCCTCTGACCTCTGACATCAACAAGGCGTTTTCGTCCACACAGCTGCTCACTGGCTGTTTTCTCTTTTTCAGACCGAACCCTGGAGATGGTTGTGGTGAAAATCCAGCCCGTCTGGACCTACAGCCATGTCACGTTCAAAGTCACTAAAGTCCCCTTACTTCCCCCTTCTGATGCTGCGTTTGAACTGCAGCGAGTTGTCGCGACCACGTCTGCATGTACTGAGCTGCTGCCATGTGATTGGCTGATATTAGGTGTTCCTAATAAAGTGGCCGGGGAGTGTACATATCCAGGTAAACATGCACACAGGTACACACAAAGTTTTTGTAGTTACACCCCGGTCCCTGTCTCTCGTTACCAGGGTGATGAAGGTGGCGTCCAAATACACTGGGCGGGGCCTGACGTTCTCAGTAGCCAATAAGAAGGACTTCCTGTCTGAGCTGGAGGACGACTTCGGTCTGGGAACGTCAGACGGAGGAGAGCTGCCGTTCGTCACAATCCGGACCAAACTGGGCCACAAGTACACCATGAGAGAGGAGTTCACGTACGTAACCGGGCCGAACCGGGCTAATTCGTGTCTTTAATTTGACTCACCTGTGTGAGCTCACGCAGCAGGTCAGTAATCAGGCTCCTTGTGTTTCAGGAGGGACGGTCTGTCCCTGGAGAGGTTTCTGGACGATTACTTCGCAGGTCGACTCAAACGTTACGTCAAGTCTGAACCCGTACCTGAGAGAAACAGCGGCGCTGTCAAGGTGAGACCGCCATCTCACAGCCGGCAGGTGAGAGAGAGACGGTGTGTTCGGCGTCGGCAGACCTTCAGGTCTGTGAGCGAATAGGAAGACAGAACCTTAACGTTGTGGTTTTCAGTTTATGGTTTTGGAGCTCAGCCAGTCAGGATTTCCAGAAGTGTCAGATCACAAGCAGCGAACAGGTGCTGTCTCTGCACCACGTGGCTCGTCGTGGTGAAACTACAAAGGTGAATATTACTGCTGCAGACAATTGTGGAATTGCGCTTCTCCTTTCCTTTTCGTAAGGAACGGTCCAATGTGTCCTGCGCTTGGTCCAGTGTGTCCTACGCTTGGTCCCATCCAATGTGTCCTAAGCTTGGTCCAGTGTGTCCTGCGCTTGGTCCAGTGTGTCCTGCGCTTGGTCCAGTCCAGTGTGTCCTAAGCTTGGTCCAATATGTCCTAAGCTTGGTCCCGTCCAATGTGTCCTACGCTTAGTCCAGTGTGTCCTGCGCTTGGTCCAGTGTGTCCTGAGCTTGGTCCCGTCCAATGTGTCCTGCGCTTGGTCCAGTCCAATGTGTCCTGCGCTTGGTCCAGTGTGTCCTGCGCTTGGTCCAGTGTGTCCTGCGCTTGGTCCCGTCCAATGTGTCCTGCGCTTGGTCCAGTGTGTCCTGCGCTTGGTCCCGTCCAATGTGTCCTGCGCTTGGTCCAGTGTGTCCTGCGCTTGGTCCCGTCCAATGTGTCCTGCGCTTGGTCCCGTCCAATGTGTCCTACGCTTGGTCCAGTGTGTCCTACGCTTGGTCCCGTCCAGTGTGTCCTACGCTTGGTCCAGTGTGTCCTTCGCTTGGTCCAGTGTGTCCTACGCTTGGTCCAGTGTGTCATACGCTTGGTCCAATATGTCCTAAGCTTGGTCCAGTGTGTCCTGCGCTTGGTCCTGTCCAATGTGTCCTACGCTTAGTCCAGTGTGTCCTGCGCTTGGTCCAGTCCAATGTGTCCTACGCTTGGTCCAGTGTGTCATATGCTTGGTCCAATATGTCCTAAGCTTGGTCCAGTGTGTCCTGCGCTTGGTTCCGTCCAATGTGTCCTACGCTTAGTCCAATGTGTGCTGCGCTTGGTCCAATGTGTCCTGCGCTTGGTCCCATCCAATGTGTCCTGCGCTTGGTCCAGTGTGTCCTGCGCTTGGTCCCGTCCAATGTGTCCTGCGCTTGGTCCCGTCCAATGTGTCCTACGCTTGGTCCAGTGTGTCCTTCGCTTGGTCCAGTCCAATGTGTCCTACGCTTGGTCCAGTGTATCTTCGCTTGGTCCAGTGTGTCATACGCTTGGTCCAATGTGTCCTGCGCTTGGTCCAGTGTGTCCTGCGCTTGGTCCTGTCCAATGTGTCCTACGCTTAGTCCAGTGTGTCCTGCGCTTGGTCCAGTCCAATGTGTCCTACGCTTGGTCCAGTGTGTCATATGCTTGGTCCAATATGTCCTAAGCTTGGTCCAGTGTGTCCTGCGCTTGGTCCCGTCCAATGTGTCCTACGCTTAGTCCAATGTGTGCTGCGCTTGGTCCAATGTGTCCTGCGCTTGGTCCAGTGTGTCCTACGCTTGGTCCAGTCCAATGTGTCCTACGCTTGGTCCAGTGTGTCCTTCGCTTGGTCCAGTGTGTCCTTCGCTTGGTCCAGTGTGTCCTACGCTTGGTCCAGTGTGTCATACGCTTGGTCCAATATGTCCTGCGCTTGGTCCAGTGTGTCCTGCGCTTGGTCCTGTCCAATGTGTCCTACGCTTAGTCCAGTGTGTCCTGCGCTTGGTCCAGTCCAATGTGTCCTACGCTTGGTCCAGTGTGTCATATGCTTGGTCCAATATGTCCTAAGCTTGGTCCAGTGTGTCCTGCGCTTGGTCCCGTCCAATGTGTCCTACGCTTAGTCCAATGTGTGCTGCGCTTGGTCCAATGTGTCCTGCGCTTGGTCCAATGTGTCCTGCGCTTGGTCCAGTCCAATGTGTCCTACGCTTGGTCCAGTGTGTCCTTCGCTTGGTCCAGTGTGTCCTACGCTTGGTCCAGTGTGTCATACGCTTGGTCCAATATGTCCTGCGCTTGGTCCAGTGTGTCCTGCGCTTGGTCCTGTCCAATGTGTCCTACGCTTAGTCCAGTGTGTCCTGCGCTTGGTCCAGTCCAATGTGTCCTACGCTTGGTCCAGTGTGTCATATGCTTGGTCCAATATGTCCTAAGCTTGGTCCAGTGTGTCCTGCGCTTGATCCCGTCCAATGTGTCCTACGCTTAGTCCAATGTGTGCTGCGCTTGGTCCAATGTGTCCTGCGCTTGGTCCAATGTGTCCTGCGCTTGGTCCAGTCCAATGTGTCCTGCGCTTGGTCCAATGTGTCCTGCGCTTGGTCCAGTGTGTCCTGCGCTTGGTCCCGTCCAATGTGTCCTGCGCTTGGTCCCGTCCAATGTGTCCTACGCTTGGTCCAGTGTGTCCTGCGCTTGGTCCCGTCCAGTGTGTCCTACGCTTGGTCCAGTGTGTCCTTCGCTTGGTCCAGTGTGTCCTGCGCTTGGTCCCGTCCAATGTGTCCTACGCTTAGTCCAATGTGTGCTGCGCTTGGTCCAATGTGTCCTGCGCTTGGTCCAGTGTGTCCTACGCTTGGTCCAGTCCAATGTGTCCTACGCTTGGTCCAGTGTGTCCTTCGCTTGGTCCAGTGTGTCCTACGCTTGGTCCAGTGTGTCATACGCTTGGTCCAATATGTCCTGCGCTTGGTCCAGTGTGTCCTGCGCTTGGTCCTGTCCAATGTGTCCTACGCTTAGTCCAGTGTGTCCTGCGCTTGGTCCAGTCCAATGTGTCCTACGCTTGGTCCAGTGTGTCATATGCTTGGTCCAATATGTCCTAAGCTTGGTCCAGTGTGTCCTGCGCTTGGTCCCGTCCAATGTGTCCTACGCTTAGTCCAATGTGTGCTGCGCTTGGTCCAATGTGTCCTGCGCTTGGTCCAATGTGTCCTGCGCTTGGTCCAGTCCAATGTGTCCTGCGCTTGGTCCAGTCCAATGTGTCCTAAGCTTGGTCCAGTGTGTCCTGCGCTTGGTCCAGTCCAATGTGTCCTGCGCTTGGTCCAGTGTGTCCTACACTTGGTCCTGTCCAATCCATAAATGAGTATAAAGTCCTGTCAGATGATATTTTTCATCTTATACTCACAAGTTATTTGTCTTGTTGGCATGAGATGAAAGACAGACTCAACTTTCAGGACTTTAGGGGCCCATAAATGAGAGAGATTTCAGAACCACCATAAAAGCCCATTCGTGGCCCCTGGACATCATGCCAGGGTTCCTGCCGGGACGGGTGCTTCTGAAGAGGACGCCGATGTTTTAAAATGATGTGCAGTAAATAAGATGTGGTTCAGATGTGGAGGATTGTTTAACCTGCAGAGAAGCCACTGAGTTCTCTACAGTACAGAAACCGTTCACAGACCACCAAGACCAGATATCTCTGGTGGTTGTCAGATATATTGAAGTGATTACCCTTGAAGCCGAGGTTTGGATCTGACGCTCGCTGTGGTGTCCTGTCCTCCTACAGAGTACTCAGTCATTGTGGCTGCTGTGACGTAGTCTGGTTTGACTTTAATGAAGAGACAGGATTCAGGTTTCTAACAAATTTAATAACCAGCTGGATAAAGACATGAAGTCCAACAGCACGGCTCGATCAATAAAATAAATAGTTCTGCTCTGGTTCTACCTGTTTTACAGACTGACATTAAAACATTTCCAGCTGACGGCTCTGAAGAGACGCTAATTATTCATGATGAAGCTGCTTTATTCAGAGTTTTTAATGTTCTTGGTCCATTTGTTCTGGAGAGGAGACAGCCTCGGTGGTGCTTGGGCTTCTGGTAGAAATTTCCTGAACGGTCAACACTGATGGAATCCTACAGTAAAATAATAATAATAATAATAATAATCCTTATTTGTAGAGCACTTTTCAAAAACAAGTTACAAAGTGCTTTAACAAGTGTAAAGAATAATACAAAAAAAAAGATAAGAGCATGAAAATTTAAATTAGTAAAATACAATAAAATAAAAGGGATAAAATAAAGTCAAATAAGATCGGGAAAGGCTCTCCTATAAATGTATGTTTTAAGAAGGGACTTAAAAGAGTTCACTGAGCTGATTTCCTCGGGCAGGCTGTTCCAGAGCCTCGGGGCCCTGACAGCAAACGCTCTGTCCCCTTTAGTTTTCAGTCGAGACTCTGGAACAGACAACAGACCTCTGCCCGAGGATCTCAAGCTACGTGCTGGTGCGTAAAAACCGGCCGCCGCCTTGAGAACAGGGGCCACATCAGCAGGCGGCCCCTGAGCCCGTGAGGTTTGAATGATACGCGTGATGTAATGGTGTCGAACAGAGCACTGAGCTCTAACGAGTCCAGAGACAAGTCCTTCATCTGATGCAGTTCAGCTCACAGACCTGAAGGTCCTCAGACGTGAGGTCAGCAGGTGGATCCTCCTGTGTCTGACCCCTGGTCCCCCCAGAACCCTGGTCTAAGACTGAACTCTTGGTCATTCCAGCCAAACAATCTATCCACCATAACATCACACTACAACTTGACTCCTCAACCATCACTCCAGCCAGGGTGGGGAGAAACTTGGTGTCATGATTGATGACCAGCTGTCCTTTTCAGACCATGTTGCTGCTGGTCTCTCGGTCGTGCCGCTTTGCTCTGTACAACATAAGGAAAATCAGGCCCTACCTCACTCAGTACGCCACCCAGCTTCTGGTACAGGCCGTGGTTCTCTCTCTGCCCTCCTAGCAGGTCTTCCAGCTGAGGTGAAACCCTTACAAATGGTTTCAGGGGCGTCCCTCTCTGACTTCAAGAAGCTCTTGATAACTCATCTCTTCCGAGAACACTTCCTCTTATAACACCTCTAACTTCTAACCTCTAACATGCACTTCCTGTGCTCTTCTTCTTCTGTCCCCTACAATAATCTTGTTTTGATTACACTTTTTGTTAACTCTTCCTTCCCTCAGTATTTACCCCATTGATGTGATCTGTACTGTGAGCTCTTACTAGTACTTATTGTCAGTTGTAGGTCTGTATTTGATGCTCGTATGTTGTTCCTCAAATGTAAGTCTCTTTGGATAAAAGCGTCTGCCAAATGAGTAAATGTAAATGACCTCCGACCTCTGTGTGCTGGCCTGCAGGTGGTTGTTGCAGAGTCTTTTGATGACATCGTCAATGATCCAGACAAAGACGTTCTGATCCAGTTTTACTCTCCGTCCTGTCCACACTGCAAGAAACTGGAGCCGGTCTACAGAGAGCTGGCTGACACCGTACGTGCCTCATCCTCATCATCCTCATCATCCTCATCCTGATCTTAGTTGATGAAAAATATGTCAAACATGTGCTCAGGCCGTCAAAAAGTTCAATGAATATCTGTGTTGATGAAATTTTTTCTCTCTCTCCACCTGTCTGTCTCTCTCTCTCTACCTCTCTCTCTCTCCACCTGTCTCTCTCTCTCTCTCTACCTCTCTCTCTCTCTCTGCACCTGTCTCTCTCTCCACCTGTCTGTCTCTCTCTCTACCACTCTCTCTCTCTCTCCACCTGTCTCTCTCTCTCTCTACCTCTCTCTCTCTCTCTGCACCTGTCTCTCTCTCCACCTGTCTGTCTCTCTCTCTCCACCTGTCTCTCTCTCTCCACCTGTCTCTCTCTCTCTACCACTCTCTCTCTCTCTCCACCTGTCTCTCTCTCTCTCTCCACCACTCTCTCTCTCTCCACCTGTCTCTCTCTCTACCACTCTCTCTCTCTACCACTCTCTCTCCACTTGTCTCTCTCTCTACCACTCTCTCTCTCTTTCCACCTGTCTCTCTCTCTACCACTCTCTCTCTCTACCACTCTCTCTCCACCTCTCTCTCTCCACTTGTCTCTCTCCACCTGTCTCTCTCTCTACCACTCTCTCTCTCTCTCCACCTGTCTCTCTCTCTCTCTCCACCTGTCTCTCTCCACCTGTCTCTCTCTCTACTCTCTCTCTCTCTCCACCTGTCTCTCTCTCTCTCTCTACCTCTCTCTCTCTCTGCACCTGTCTCTCTCTCCACCTGTCTGTCTCTCTCTCTCCACCTGTCTCTCTCTCTCCACCTGTCTCTCTCTCTCTCTCTACCACTCTCTCTCTCTCTCCACCTGTCTCTCTCTCTCTCTCCACCACTCTCTCTCTCCACCTGTCTCTCTCTCTCTACCACTCTCTCTCTACCACTCTCTCCACCTGTCTCTCTCTCTCCACCTGTCTCTCTCTCTCCACCTGTCTCTCTCTCCACCTGTCTCTCTCTCTCTCTACCACTCTCTCTCTCTCCACCTGTCTCTCTCTCCACTTGTCTCTCTCCACCTGTCTCTCTCTCCACTTGTCTCTCTCCACCTGTCTCTCTCTCCACCTCTCTCTCTCCACTTGTCTCTCTCTCCACCTGTCTCTCTCTCTCTCTACCACTCTCTCTCTCTCCACCTGTCTCTCTCTCCACTTGTCTCTCTCCACCTGTCTCTCTCTCCACTTGTCTCTCTCCACCTGTCTCTCTCTCCACCTCTCTCTCTCCACTTGTCTCTCTCTCCACTTGTCTCTCTCCACCTGTCTCTCTCCACTTGTCTCTCTCTCCACTTGTCTCTCTCCACCTGTCTCTCTCTCCACCTGTCTCTCTCTCCACCTCTCTCTCTCCACTTGTCTCTCTCTCCACTTGTCTCTCTCCACCTGTCTCTCTCCACTTGTCTCTCTCTCCACTTGTCTCTCTCCACCTGTCTCTCTCTACCTCTCTCTCTCTCCACTTGTCTCTCTCCACCTCTCTCTCTCCACTTGTCTCTCTCTCCACCTGTCTCTCTCTCTCCACCTGTCTCTCTCCACTTGTCTCTCTCTCCACTTGTCTCTCTCCACCTGTCTCTCTCTACCTCTCTCTCTCTCCACTTGTCTCTCTCCACCTCTCTCTCTCCACTTGTCTCTCTCCACCTCTCTCTCTCCACTTGTCTCTCTCTCTCTCCACTTGTCTCTCTCTCCACTTGTCTCTCTCCACCTGTCTCTCTCTCTCTCCACTTGTCTCTCTCTCCACTTGTCTCTCTCCACTTGTCTCTCTCTCCACTTGTCTCTCTCTACCTCTCTCTCTCTCCACTTGTCTCTCTCCACCTGTCTCTCTCTCTCTCCACCTGTCTCTCTCTCTCCACCTGTCTCTCTCTCCACCTGTCTCTCTCTCTCTCTACCACTCTCTCTCTCTCTCCACCTGTCTCTCTCTCTCTCTGCACCTGTCTCTCTCTCCACCTGTCTCTCTCTCAGCTGTACTATGACCCTCACATCGTGGTCAGTAAGATGAACGCAGCCGATAACGACGTCCCGCTGGGTTACGACGTCCGCGGGTGAGAACAGCCTCCAGCCTGTAGATCAGCTCTGAACCGCCAGGCGGTCAGTCACAATCACAAAGATGTTATTTCTTGAAGCAGTGAAGTTTTTCATTTTCAAGATTTAAAAAATAATTATTCAAAATGCAGTTTATGGGGTTTATCAGTATTTCATTACAGATTAAACAGTCGAATAGTTAATCAGTAAACTGTAGACTACAACAAACAAACAACAACATAATCAACACATTCAAAAATTATATTAGGCCCTAGAAGAACATTTAGTCGTTATTATAAAAGTTAATTCTGCCACTGAAAATTTTGTCCCTGGACTATTCCCTGATTCTGTTCTGGCGCTGCTCGGCTCAGCCTCTCTCACGCTCAGGTCCAGTTCTGCTCTGCACAGCAGCCACTGACCCGGTTCTGCAGCATCTAGTCCTCAAAAACAAGGTTTTGGTTAATAACTGAACGCCGTCAGAACAAGACGCACTCTGGACCGTCGTTATCTCTCCTTTATCTGACTATCTCACTCAAATAAATTTCAGACCTTCTTGGACATTCTGCTACGATCCATCTATTATCTGTCCATCAAATCTAGCTAGCTGTAGCTGGTGATGGCAGCCTGCTTATCGAAAAACGTATCAACAATGGGCGCAGCACTATACAGCTGTAAAAGTGGTTCTAGTGTTAACAAGGAGGAGTCTGTTCTCTCCAGGGCCGGCCCTCGCCAATTTGCTGCCCTAGGCAAGATTTCACCTGATGCCCCTGGATTTTTGTTCATAAACTTACACAGAAACAAACTGCACAGGTTTGTCTTGTTTTTCTTTATTTTGAAAATATTTTGGAAACACAAACACACAACGTATTATAGATACAATATAAATATGTATATATTATATTATGTTATTGCAGAAAAAACTATATTACAGAAACCTTGCTTTCCTTTGCTTTCCTTGCCTTTCTTACAGCATATGTAACATTCCAAAAATTATAAATAAGACCATTGCACAACAAATAAATAACTATTCTATTCTTGAGCCATTGTAGATCTCAGGTAGTTTTTAATCAGTTTGAGCTTAGAGCAGCAGCGACTGTCACAGGTAGAGTGGCAGAGATTCTCAGAGCGACCCACATATTGGGGAAAATTTCCATCAGCTTCTTCTCGTGCAGGAAAGTCAGGAGCTCAATGTTTGTCATAATTTTTGATGGCAGATGTGGAAAGTTTTGCATTTCTAATACAAGTTTCAATTCAAATTAGCGAACGTTACAGACATCGTGATCGTCGAACTAACTTAATGCAACACAGATAAACTGATCACATATCATTACCTACCTCTGTCTTTTTCGCATTTTTCTTCCTCTTCTCTTCTTTTTTTTCTTCCCTGGGCACCAGATGGTTTCGGTCTTTTTGACATGACAACTTGTCAGTGTCAGTGAATTCGGCCATCCGTCACTCACAATCACACACAGGTAACGGATGGGGTTTTTTTTCAGCAGGGCGGGGGCGATGGAGATTGGTGCGTCACTCAGTCGGACCGGGGGGATTCAGGATTCCCCCGGGATTCACAATCGCTTTTTTTAATCCATAATATTTTAGTTGTATTAGTAATAAAAAAATTATTAAAAAAATAATTTGGGCGCACAGGCGCCCCAAGGGGTGGGCGGCGCCCTTAGCATTTGCCTATTCCGCCTATGCCCAGGGCCGGCCCTGGTTCTCTCATCTCATTGGTTGTCTCTCTGCAGGTATCCCACCATTTATTTCGCCCCAGCCGGTAAAAAGGACGAGCCCATAAGATACGAGGTAACACACCATCAGTCAGAACCACCGTGATACCTGAGTACACAGTGATATAAACGTCTGGCGGTCACTTGCTGTCTGACGTGTCTTCTCTGTGTTTCAGGGGGGTCGAGAGCTGAAAGACTTCCTGAAGTTCCTGAAGCGTGAGGCGAGCCACGGTCTGGTCTCCGGCGGCTCGAAAGACGAGCTCTGACGCATTTCCATCCACAAACAGGACTGACTACAGGGACGCAACCAACTGGTCTCAAGTACTGATCCTGCTGACGGACCTGGACCTGAATCTGGACTTGAGACAGGAAATGATTTCTCATTTACCAGAAAAACACCCATCCACTATGATGTCATAGATGACATCACCAGGCTGCCTGCTGAGTCACTAGAAAATAGGGTTTTATATATATTTACACGTTTTGTAGGCTGTTGAAAGGCCCTCTGGGAAATGCAGTAATAGAGAGCGGCTGATGTGAATATTTGAGGCTGACGACAATAATAATAAATTAGCTGATATTCAGTTTTTAACAAATACAAGAATCCCTTAATGTGGTTAGATTTGTTCTGGACACTACGCCGTAACCTGCGCCGTACCCTACACTCTACCCTACACTGTATCCCACACTGTACCCTAAGCTGTACCCTACGCCGTACCCTAAGCCATACCCTACACTGTATCCCACACTGTACCCTAAGCTGTACCCTACGCCGTACCCTAAGCCATACCCTACACTGTATCCCACACTGTACCCTAAGCTGTACCCTACGCCGTACCCTAAGCCATACCCTACACTGTATCCCACACTGTACCCTACGCCATACCTTACACTGTACCCTAAGCTGTACCCTACGCCGTACCTTACACTGTACCCTAAGCTGTACCCTACACCGTACCCTACACTCTACCCTACACTGTATCCCACACTGTACCCTAAGCTGTACCCTACGCCGTACCCTAAGCCATACCCTACGCTGTATCCCACACTGTACCCTAAGCTGTACCCTACGCCGTACCCTAAGCCATACCCTACACTGTATCCCACACTGTACCCTAAGCTATACCCTACGCCGTACCCTAAGCCATACCCTACACTGTATCCCACACTGTACCCTACGCCATACCTTACACTGTACCCTAAGCTGTACCCTACGCCGTACCTTACACTGTACCCTAAGCTGTACCCTACGCCATACCTTACACTGTACCCTAAGCTGTACCCTACGCCATACCTTACACTGTACCCTAAGCTGTACCCTACGCCGTACCTTACACTGTACCCTAAGCTGTACCCTACGCCGTACCTTACACTGTACCCTACACTGTATCCCACACTGTACCCTAAGCTGTATCCTACGCCGTACCCTACACTCTACCCTACACCGTTCCCTACACCGTACCCTACACTGTATCCCACACTGTACCCTAAGCTGTACCCTACGCCGTACCCTACACTCTACCCTACGCCGTACCCAACGCCGTACCCTAAGCCATACCCTACACTGTATCCCACACTGTACCCTAAGCTGTACCCTACGCCGTACCTTACACTGTACCCTAAGCTGTACCCTACGCCGTACCTTACACTGTACCCTAAGCTGTACCCTACACCATACCCTACACTCTGCCCTACACTGTATCCCACACTGTACCCTAAGCTGTACCCTACGCCGTACCCTACGCCGTACCCTACACTCTACCCTACACCGTTCCCTTCACCGTACCCTACACTGTATCCCACACTGTACCCTACGCCGTACCCTACACTCTACCCTACACTGTATCCCACACTGTACCCTAAGTTGTACCCTACGCCGTACCCTACACGCTACCCTACACTGTATCCCACACTGTACCCTAAGTTGTACCCTACGCCGTACCCTACACTCTACCCTACACTGTATCCCACACTGTACCCTAAGCTGTACCCTACGCCGTACCCTAAGCCATACCCTACACTGTATCCCACACTGTACCCTAAGCCGTACCCTACACTGTATCCCACACTGTACCCTAAGCTGTACTCTACGCCGTACCTTACACTGTACCCTAAGCTGTACCCTACGCCGTACCTTACACTGTACCCTACACTGCGCCATAACTTGACACAGCCCTCCCCAAAAATGTAAACAGACGACGCTGGAGAGTTACTCCTTGCTGGCTCCAGAACAGGGGGGATTGAGTTTTCTCAGTCGTGGCCTCTAGACTGGAATGACTTGCCTCTTCATGTCAGGCCGGCCCCCAGCCTTCCTGTTTCAGTCACGACTAAAAACTCACCTCTACCACTTGACTTTTAACCCAGTTTGAGACTTTATGTTGCTATTTTATGGTTGTTTTTGTTTTGTATTGATTTATTTATTTGTTGATTGATTCGTGTCAGTGTTCACTTTGTACTCAACCTGGTTGTTTTTAAATGTGCTTTACAAATAAAGTTGGATTAGATTGGATTGAAGTATAAATTGGCGTTAAAGCCTGATGTACACTTCTGCGTCGTGTCTACGCCGCGGCCTAAGATGAAGGCCACGCACACACGTGAGCATTTATACTTGTGCGTAGGTGTCTGTGTCACTCTGCAGTTATGGCGCCAAAACGCTAGCTGGCGGTGGGTTTCTATGTTCCACTGTGGTGATTTCTGTCGGTGAGCCGGCTAACTTGCTGTTCAGCCCTCCTCTAACTTGAATGGGGGTAAAATAATAATCATGCAGCTCTTCTAGACTTTCCAAATGTTATTGACCAATTGGATCAAACTCTGATAGTGAAACATGTCGCAAGGGTTGTGATCAGAGCTTGAAATTAACACACGCCAAATGCGGGTGGATTTCGGCCGTGGCGGGTAACACAGTCACTCCCACTCGCCACTTTGGTGTGTTTAAAAATTGTAGTCTTTTCAAAAGGTATCTGAAATAACAAATTGCAATTTGACACTACAACTCCCATGAGTACAGGAGAACAACCTTTCCAGAGTTAGTTCTATTTTATAATAAACGTAGTCATGCCCTGTAGGGCTTTGTTTCTAATGCAGATAATTTTTCTACTCTGTATTATAGTATTTAGTGCTGTTATAAATAAATCAACAGCTCTTTCAGTCTTTACAATGAGAAGCTACTAAAATGTAATTTTGGTGAAAACATGTGGTGAGTAAAAATGCTGCGTGGCTAGTAACTTTGGAAAACCACTGGCCACATTGGCTCGTGAGCAAAAAAAGTTAATATCAAGCCCAGGATGCTACCAAGCCGACCAATCACAGTTCTTGCGTCTCTGTGACATGTAGTTAGATTTTTGGGGAGGTGAGCGTTGGGCTACGGCATAAACTCGACGCAGAAGAAGTAAAAATCAGGCTTTACAGTGTGGGAATAAACCTGAGCGCCCTCTGGTGGACAGACGAGACACTGGCGCTCGTTCATGAAACGTCTTTTCAGATTTTAACTTAATGAGAAGATAACCTTTTCTTATTCCTGAATGACGACACCAACACGTTGAGTATTTTCAGTTGGTGATGAGTTACATAACAGATAAAAACATTGTGACCTCCTTGATGTTAGAGGACGCTGTGAAATCAGTCATCAATATTAATCTTGTTCCTTCTCAGAGTGAAGTGGATGTACAGCGTTCAAGCTTTTTTCTTTCAGTACTGGAGGGGTCGGAGTGTCTCTTGCTGCCTTCAGATGATTCTTTTCATTGTTGATTAATCTGCCAAGTATTTAAAGTGTTTCTCAGAGTTCAACTTTCCAGCTGTTTATCTGTACTTAGCGGAACTCGTCTGATCGTGTGAAACTTTTTCAGGACGTCTCTGCGCTCACATGATTCATTCTTTGTCCCTATTTATTTTATGCACAAAGAAAATGCAACGTATTTATAAATTTCATTGTCTGTGGAAACAGTTTTTTGTTTTTTATTGAAAGCCTCTTTGTATGTTTTGTGAAAAACTGATGCAAAAATCTGTTCTGAGCCTTATTGATGTTTTACTGAGGATTTAATAAACCTCTGATATAAACAGCGTCTGTCCACTGATTCACTTTATCCAACAGCTGTCTGCCCTTCTTCAGTCTGACTGAATATGGAGCCACATTTATATAATATGAGATAATCCAAACATTGTAGACACAACAGTTCACCCATCAAATAATCAATGCAGACGTAGAATCAGAAACGGATAAAACGCGTTTTATTCTGAGATGTCACATTTTCATTGATGTCTTTATTATGCCAGATATTTGTTGCTGAGTGTTTTATAAAAGTTAGAAGGTTATAATGTGCACAAGTGACGAGATGATGATGTGGAGGTCCAACAAGCAGTTTTCAGAATTTCACTTCTGATGTGAGACACAGTCCAAAACTCCTGAGACACATTAAATAATAATTATTACTACTTTATTTACATTTATTTTTTATTTATTATCCTAAATATGTAATGTGAACTTTATTTATATTTATTTTTTATTTATTATCATAGATACATAATGTGAACTTTGTTAATTTTTCTTTATTCTTAAAAATAAATAATGTGAATTTTATTTATATATATTATTTATTTATCTAGATATATAATGTAAACTTTATTTATATTTTATTTATTATTATTATTATAGATATGTAATATGAACTTTATATTATATTTATTATTATATAGATATGTAATGTGAACTTTATTTGTATTTTTGTTATAATTATAAATTATGTTGACTTTATTTATATATTTATTAGTATGAATAACTTATTTGAGCTTTATATTTATTTATTATCATAAATAAAATTATAATATTAAAGACATTTAAATGATGTTAAATTTATTTATGTGTTTAATATTATAAATATATAACATTAAGATTATTTATATATTTATAATTATGAATAAAGTATGTAAACTCTGGTTTTCCCTGTACAGGGCGGTGTCTGTGTTTCCGCTGTGTCGCTTTAAGGCTTTCGCCTCATTGACTCAATTGGTCAAGCGTCTGTCGATCACTCTTGTCCCGTCAGCTGATTGGTCAGGCCTGGGGTTGTTTTCCCGCCCCTGCGGTTAAGCCCTCCCTCCTTCCTTCCTCCCAGAACCTTCCAGGCCGCAGTTGTTCGGCTCGCGCTGTCAGAATGTTCGGCCAGCAGGTTTTAGTGCTCAGTAAGTATCTGAAAACATTTCAGCCTCTTCGTTAAACCTTTGGTTGTGACGTGGCGGCCGCTCGTTGCCGCGACTCTCTCCGGTTTGTAGCCGTTTACCGTCAGAGCCGCCCGGCTGCGACACAAAGACCGGTGCCGTTACTAAGCAGCATGTGCTCGCGACCACCTGCCTGCGTGCTAACCCGGCTAACTGTTAGCATCCCCGTTACAGACAACGAGCATCGTTAGCTCGTGGGGTTAGCATCGTTAGCCCGTGTCGTATGTGTTATAGGACATTGAGTCGAGATGCTAAGCTAAGCTGATGCATCCTCGTTACTCAGCATTAAAACCCTCAGTTAGCTCGCTAGCATGCTAACACTTCCATCAGCAGTGTGTATTTAATGCTACAGCTTTAGCGGCGCGGCGTTAGCGTGTCTGCGGTGTTTTAATGAAGAGACTCCGGGTGTATAAACCGCCCGGACCCGGTAACGGTACTGCTGTCTGTGACGGAGCTGCGGCAACACGCAGGTTTCTCACTGATGCAACATCCTGAATTACTAGTTTGTTTTCTGGATGACCGTCATCACTTCATCAGCCTGTTATTGAGGGTTAATCGATCAGGATCAAAGTGTTTGAAGATTAAATGTGTCACTGAGATCAAACCGGAAACGGAAGAGAACCTGTGACTGAAAAGACAGTTTGATGGTCAGAATCGCTGCAGATGAAGGTTTGGGTAAATGAAGTGCTGGACCCAGCCGGTTCCTGGTCTGTCTGCGATCTGTATTGATCGATCAGCTGTATCGGGTCTTATGTCATGTTGATCAGCTGGTGTGAAAACGTGGAATCATTCAGTAGAATTAATGAGTCTGAGTCAATCAGCAGCATGGATCTGGGTGGGGCTTTGTCCTGAGTGTCACTTCCTGTCTGTGTTCTCTGCAGACCAGAACGTAAAGAGGGAGTCCGGACGGAAAGTCCAGACTGGAAACATCAGCGCCGCAAAGGTCAGTTTCTGCTGTACAACAGGGACCAGTTCCAAACCGGGTCCCTGTGCTGCTGGAGCAGACGGTTGGATCAGAAGCAGCTGTTCAATGTGTGTTTCTGTGTTTTTCAGACCATCGCAGATGTGATCAGGACCTGCCTCGGCCCACGGGCCATGATGAAGGTAGGACCAGAACCTGACTGCTTTACTGTACACTCAGAGAGCCGGTACCTCAGGGAGTGCTAGTACTTTTAGTTTTCACTCTCGCAGGAATCCTGAGACCAGAGAAGCTTTTGGATTATCATTAATGTTCTGTTCGCTGTGTGTGCGTGTAGATGTTGCTCGACCCCATGGGGGGAATCGTGATGACCAACGACGGGAACGCCATCCTCAGAGAGGTGAGCAGATGTTCCTTCAGCTCAGAGCGCGGCAGCCTTCAAGGCTGGTTACTGACCTGTGTCTCCATGGTAACAGATCCAGGTCCAGCATCCTGCAGCCAAGTCCATGATCGAGATCAGCCGCACACAGGACGAAGAGGTTGGAGACGGGACCACGTCAGTCATCATCCTGGGTGAGAGCAGCTGTTTGTGTGTGTGTGTGTGCGGTTATTATAGTTTTAGATTTTTTATAAATTTTTAAGTATTAACACATAAATACTACTAATCTATGAAGCACATGCTACATCTGCAGTATAATCCTGCTACCCAGTGGTCCCAACAAATTCATTGCATCAAATGTAAATGTAAATGCTCCGTACTTTTATAGCGCCTTTCTAGTCTTTTCGACCACTCAAAGCGCTTTTACACTACATCTGCATTCACCAGTCACACACATTCATACACTGAGCCTAAGTGCTCAAACAGAAACTAGCATTCACACTCATTCATACACTGGCGGAACAGCCGCTCTACCTCCTGAGCCACAGCCGCCCCCGACATCAGTCTCCAGCTCTGTCATTAACCAAGTTAAATAGGTAAAATACAATTAATGGAGGTGATGGACAGTTAAGAAATTGGAAGGTAGTGGAGGCCCCCTTTGGAGCCACAAACAACAGGCCCCTAGCACCGTGAAGGTAAGTCTGACTGGAAAGCAGTTAGTCTGTATTAAAATGTAAACCTGCATTAATCAGAACATGTTAAAAGCACAAAGAGACAGACTGGCTGAGATATGAATGAGCCCATAAAACACAGTGCAGGCCACTAGAGGCAAGTTCATCCCACATGCAGGGTGAGCTCTGAGCCAGACCATCAGAAAGAAAAACCACCAAGACGTCAACTCGCTACCTGCAAACTAAACTGAACACTACACATGTATAACAGATAATAGAAAACATGTTCAGGTCCCACCAACTAGCAGCCGATCCGGCCCGGGTCTCCCCGGCTAACTTAGCCTCCCTCTAACGCTACATGGGGCTCTCCTCCTAACAACGGCCAGACGCCGCCCTGACCCCGGGCTCTCTTGACGGATAAAGCAATCGTAAGACAGCCACATGGCACGCAGCGTGCCAGCGCTTCAGGCGGCGCAGCGTCACTTCCCCCGGCTTCATGTCCGTGCCAAATGTTGCCTTCGGTCCTCTGAAATAAATAAATAAATAAAAAAAGACGAAAACTAAGGACTTCTCTTTCATTTTAGTTACTTTTAGTTAGTTTTGCACACCTAAAACATAGTTTTAGTTTTTTTGTAAAGCCTTGTTTTTATTTTTGTTAACGACAATGTTTTTTCACATCTAGTTTTCGTTATTTCATTCGTCTTCGTTTACGATAATGACCTTGGTGTGTGCGCAGCTGGCGAGATGCTGTCTGTAGCCGAGCAGTTCCTGGAGCAGCAGATGCACCCGACCGTCATCATCGGCGCCTACCGACAGGCGCTGGAGGACATGCTGGAGGTTCTGAAGGAGATCAGGTACACTCAGCGCTGCCGGGCTTTTATTGTGAAAGAGCAGCAGGAAGGATGTTGTGTTCACATCAGAATGAAAGGTTGCTGCCGCAGCGACTTCCTGCGGTTCACGTTGCTGTCTCTGCCCCCCCAGCACCCCCGTGGACACGTCGGACCGCTCCGCGATGCTGAAGATCGTCCACTCCGCCATCAACACCAAGGCTCTGAGCCGCTGGTCTGAAATGGCGTGCAGCATCGCGCTGGACGCCGTCCGCACCGTGGAGCTGGAGGACAACGGGCGGAAAGAGATCGACATCAAGAAGTACGCCAAAGTGGAGAAGGTACGACTTCCTGTCTGACGGCGGGCTCGGACTCCCGGTCAGAACTGAACACAATGATCTGACATGTTCTCTGTGTGAACGTTTGAAGGAAGCTGTGAGCAGTAAATAAAGTCCTCGGTCTTTAAAGAGCTCCAGGCTGACAGACCTGATCCCAGAGCAGCTGAGAGTCTGGATGATCAGAACATGATTCACACTTCCTGTAACAGCTGGCGTGTTGTGTTCAGGTACCAGGCGGCATCATCGAGGACTCGTACGTGCTGAAAGGAGTGATGCTGAACAAAGACGTGACTCACCCGAGGATGAGACGCATGATCAAAGATCCTCGCATCGTCCTGCTGGACTGTTCTCTGGAGTACAAGAAGGGGGAGAGCCAGGTAACAGAGGGGGGGGACACGGAGGGGGGGCAGAGGGAGGGGAGGGACACACAGGGGGGGGGGGGACACGGGGGGGGGCTGTCGGTTCAGATCTTTGCTGGCGAGCTGCTGTGAATCTTCCCGGCATGTTTCCGTTTGTGCAGACGGACATCGAGATCAGTAAGGAGGAGGACTTCGCCAGGATCCTGCAGATGGAGGAAGAATACATCCAGCAGATCTGCGAGGACATCATCCGCCTGAAACCAGACCTGATCTTCACCGAGAAGGGCATCTCAGGTGAGTACAGCGCACACACACCTGTCCTGGTGAGCTGAGACAGGAAGCGCCACGCTGTGAC